TTCAGCGAGCCAAGAGCAATCATTCAGCGATGAACAATGGAAATGCGGAAAGTATTGTTCTGGTTTGGAATTCAGCTGGTTAGCTTTAAAATCTGTGTATTAAGCACAGACAAATATAAAAGCACGGAACTGTTGAATGAAACACTGTATGTTTTCATTTAGTTATGTTTAGAAACAGTTTAAAATATCAGTTGATAGGTTAGCTCTACTTTAATTGATCTATTGTTTCAAAGTTGCTATTGTCTAGTAGAACACTATGCTGCAGGTGATAGAACCTAATAAATAATAGCCTGGAGAGAACAGATTTCATCTTCCAGTGGAACACATCATCTGTGCAATTTCTATTGTGTGCCTAAGGCATATTGGTATGGGCTAACTTTAAGAAAACCTGAGATTTTACAAATATGTCAGTATATCAGGAACTGGTAAAACTGGTAAATTGCAGCTGGATATAATCACATACTAAACTCAGAGCACGGTCATTGTTTCTTCGCAGCCTGAGAGCTGAGAGCTATTCAGCTGGAAAGGAATAGTCAGTAGGGCAACAGGCAGCAGGAGTTTGCAACACTTGGTTCTGGGGTTCTGCCGTGGGCAGTTAGAATGAACTGCTGCAAGACAGATGACTCCAACCATGGATCCACCATTAGCCCAACACTGCTACTTTGGGTACAGAGATAATGGACAATAAAAGAAGTGGCTGTATTTCATTTAAAACGTTATCTAACCTCATTTAAGAAGATAGCATATTGCTTATCCGCGTAATCGGTGTGTATGATTGTCCATAAACATTAGGCACTTCCCAGGGGAGAAGAGTAACCTCTGGACCTATTCACCAAAACATGCACAGAATCATTTAAATGAAGCTGTCAAAATTGACTTTTCAAACCTCACACTGGAGTGACAACAGCTACTGAATAAAAAGAATTTATGGGTGCCAATAGATGACGTAGTGGTTACGTTGTTGGACTCTCACATGGTTGACCGCAGTTTGAGTCCTGGACCTGGTGGCTTCAAACTCACACCAGGCATGTGTGCATACATGCCCCAGATCCTGGGAGGAGAATAGAGGAGAAGGGATTGCAGCATCACTATCCCCCTGAGGATGATTTCTCACTTTCCCTCTCATTGTCTTGGTCTCTCTCTCCATGGCAAGTGCATGTACCCTAAGGCAAAAACCTCTTAGAAGAGAGAGAGAGAATGAATTTGTGTGTGCTCTCTCTCTCATTCTAATTTACACAGGTATGAAATTAGTAGATTCAAGATTTCAGATGCCATTTAATCACTGCATCTACCAAACCAGAATTATTGAATTGACAGCCTCAAAATACGTGATCCAGTCTTTTAACTGTACAGATAAAGAAATTGATGTCATCACCTAAAATTAATAAGAGTTAGAGCCTGGATTACAAATTAGTGCTCAGGCAAAATGTGCTTCCTAATTGTCTTTTGAGCTAAATAAGATACATACGTATATTCTCTTGCAGTCTAGGCATGTCAATAAGACTCTGGTTTTAACTGTCTTGAACTTTGGGTTTAAAATAAAAATTGCTTTAACCTCAAACAAATTGAACACAAAAAAAGTGTTTAATTGAGAATAGAGAATAGAAATTATTGGGTTGTTGGGAAAGTCATGGTGCTTTCTTGCATAGAAAAACGTAGAAAATTACGTCATGACTTTCCCTATGACCTGATAGAGACAGAAGCCTGAGTTGTGGAAAAGGTAGCTAATAGGCCAGAGGAGGTAGACTGGAGTCCCGAAGAACATGATTCTTTTACTCAGTGAATCGGGGACCGTGGAAGAAGCCGTAAGAGCTAAATGGTCACAGAAGCTAAGTACTAGGCAGATTAGAAGGAAAGGAGATACCACTAGGGTCTCTACCTTACCCTTGAGAAAACGGCAAAGTCACATCTGCAAGGAGTTGAGAACACTACCTGGCCTAGTTGTTGCTGCCAATGTAAATCATAAAAAAGTCAAAACAGACTGGCCAAATATCCTCCAGCCTTATAGCCACTGCCCACCCTGGTGCTCCGAACACACTTAGGAACAGTCCCACGGGGATGTACAAGGAGGGAGTTTGTGAATACCTCTGGGAGAATAAAAACCTAGTCCTATTTCATTGCCACAAGTGCTATTAGAGAGTATTTACAGGTGCTTTGTAGCTACTCCAATGTGATAAATAAAAGTAAGGTTTTAAAGACTCCAAAAACATTTCATTGTTGATCCTTTAACCTTGTAGTTCATCTGTAAATATTAAATGTTGCCTAAAATAGTTACATATCAACAATTAAATAATGGGGTGATTACTTCCTATTCAACAATATTAAAATATTTTTTAGAATAATAGTATCTGGGGGACCAGCGGTTAGCATAATGGCTATGTCCCTGAACTCCCATGTAGCCAACCATGGTTTGAGTCCCAGACCCGGTGGCTTAAACTTATGCCAGTTGCGTGTGCGTGTGTGCCCAAGATCACGAAAGGAGAATGGAGGAGAAGAGATTGCGGCATGGCCATCCCCCCTGGGGGTGATTTCTTGCTTTCTGTCTGTCTTTCTGGCGAGTGCAT